GGCAACATGAGTACTGCTCGATCCGAACACACAGCATCCACATTGGCAAATGGAAAAGTCTTAGTTGCTGGTGGAAAAAATATTGTTGTTTCGAGTATTAGTGTGTATGATGTTGTTTTGAATAGTGCAGTAATGTACGATCCATCAACAGGACTCTGGACAAATACTGGCAACATGAATACTACACGATGGGATCACACAGCATCCACATTGGCGAATGGAACAGTCTTAGTTGTTGGTGGACAAAATAGTGGTGGTGTTATTTTGAGTAGTGTCGAACTATATGCATGATCATTATTAGAATGAAATGTTGTTCGTTATACTCAAGCTTAAAATTTCTTTTCATTCCCAAACTATTTACTCTTCAATACTTTGAGAACACTATCATTGTAAGGAGGTGTTACAGTGTGATTCCACAACATGCACCTCGATTTTCTTATTCTTTTCTTCCATTGTTAGACTGATATCACTATGTTATCATATCATTTATTCTATCTTATGACCTTGATTCACCTTTGTTTTCCTCTTTCTTTTGTTCGCGTTGTTCGTATATATATGCACTTCTTTTTCATAAATAAAGGATCAAAGGAAAAGCGAAAGCCTAACATCATCAGGCTACACGCTAACAGGAGGTCTTCAGAAAATACCTGTACTTTCGATCGAAAGATTTCTTTTTCAGAATCCATATTGGGTGTGTGCGGATGTGGGTGTGTTGTGACGGGTGTGACGGGTATGGGTGTGTGTGTTACGTGTGATAAATAGTGCAAAAAATACAGTGTGTCAGACGTTGTAATGAACTCCAGTTATTCAAAGATGATAAGTAACATTGTTGTCGTTATTCTAGATAATTCGCTAACTATATTTGTTGCTTTTCTTCGATTGCGACCATGTCGTCGACGATGAAAAACAGCCCGGTGAAATCGCCATTCGAACGTCCTCATACGGTAAGAATGAAACGAAATGATGTAGTCGCAAAGAGACGAAAAGACCAGTGATGAGACTTGTTAAGTGCAAGAACAGAACGGGTCATACTCAAATTGGACAAAAACCATCAATGGGCCACCCTCATGTCCCTTTATGGACAATGACCATGCTTGCGGGCAGTTTTGTTGAATAATTTGACTTTAACTGTTTTCTGCTTAAAGTGCAAGAACCGAGCGGGTCATACTCAAATCGGAAAATACCTATAAAAGACATGCTGACTACGACAACCGTCGCCTTTTCCTGAAAGAAGTTTGTTCTTCGGCAGACCGTCGATGCGAGAAATGGATCTTCGTCGAGACATTTCTCATTTGCTCTTGTTAGTAAGTAGTGCAACCAACTCTCTTCGATTTTGAAATGGATAGCAAGTATTATGTCTCGATATAATCTTGGAAAGAAAATACTGTCCGCGACAACGTGTCCATCTTGAGGGTGTGGGTGTGGGGTGTGGCGTGTGGCGTGTGGGTGTGGGTGTGGGTGTGGGTGGGTGGGTGTGGGGTGTGGGTGTGGATGTGGGTGTGGGTGGGTGTGGGTGTGGGTGTGGATGTGGTTATCAAAGAAAACGAGACCCACACTCACACCTACACCCACACCTACACCCACACCCACACCCACACCCCACACCCACACCCACACCCCACCCACACCCACACCCAACACCCACACCCACACTCACACCCACCCACACCCGCACCCGCAGGGGCCAAAATTGTTTTTTGATCTATTGGGTTGGCGGAATCAAAATTGGACAGTTGAATATTTTTTAAAATTTATTTATTTAATAAATAAATAATATTAGTCAATTATATAATCGCCATCATTATCTACTACTGCTTGCCAACGCGTAGGCAAAGCATTAATGCTTTCAGCATAAAACTCTTTTGGCTTTGAGCTGAAAAAGTTGCTAAGATATTCTTGAATATCTTCTTCTAGTGTCTAATTTTCATTCCGCCAACCCAATATTTCAAAACTGAGCTATAAATATGATCAAGACCCATACCTAAGTTCATTCCAATAAAAAAGAACTCGATTTTGTTGGGTCGAGAACAAATGGCCTTATCCGCCCTCATCCTTTCTATCCCTATACTTCAATACTTCTTTTAGACCGTGTTTCACAAAATACGTAAGTCTACAGAATTCTGGATTCTGTCTGGTAAGCATTCTACATTTTCTGAATGGATTAAATAGTCGTTAGGAAAAAAAATTGTTATGTAACTTGTTAATACAACTCAACTCGATATAAGTAATTCATTCTATATTATGTTGAAAAATGGAAAAACCAATTGATGTTTGAAAAAATTCATTTGATACTAAAATTTGATTTTTCTAAAAAAAATACGATCGAAATAGACTACTATTGTGCTATGACTCGTGTTCTATCGTTCTTGACTACTATTCGTTATAACAAACAGATCTTCTATTATCTTATAAAATATGTTTATTTTCCTAGTAATAAACATAGAAGCTTTTTTATTAATGATGACAAGGATTTGAATATGAACTGATGAAAAATGTTCTTATTTATGAAAAATATCATACTGGATATTCAAGATTAAAATATCTGTTTAATAAATCAATTTTACCACCATAAATATAATTTTTGATTAATAACTTTTATCGTATAATCATCAAGAAGTTTCTCCGATTCAATCAAAGTTACTAATATCGTGAATAAACCTCGTTGTTGCTTTGAAACACACAGTGTAGATAGATAATCAGTGTTATTATTAGGTTTCGATAATAGAAACCGCGCTATTGTTTTCAAATCTTCTTTATCTAAATTAATTGTAAGACATTTCAATCGAGGAAACAGAGCAACAACTAATTGAATTTCTTCTAATGTAGTTTCATTACCAATTGTCACACTTGTAATTGTATTCATCTTGGATACTTTTTGAAATATTTCATTTTGTTCAATTAAAAAAGAACTTCTTTGATAAAGTAATATAGAATCAAGTTTCAATGTATGAACATTAGGTGTGAAATGTAAGAGTTCGATAACTTGTTCAAATGGAAAATGATGATAATCAAAAGTTAGTTTAGTGAGTTGTCTCAAAGGAATAATACGATTAAGACTGATTACAATTGAATCACGAGGTACATGAAAAGTTTCCGAGAGAGTGAGCTCAATAGCATTTGGAAAATAACTCAGACATTGTTCCATTGCATTTGTATTATGAATATAAACATGTTGAACTGAATCTTTGCTAGTTTCGACATGAAGTGAAGAGACATTTTTGTCAAGTTCTTCATATAACATATAGGATTTCCTTCTGAAAAAATAAAAGAACATAAATAATTTGTAATATATAAGTTTTCTTATATCTACCTATATGGATTTATTGAATAGAAAATGGCGACATGATAGCTCTTTGTCTGATCATACTGATATTCAAAGAACCATTGTCGTTTTATCCAAAATACTGAATTGAACTTATTTACCCGGGTCTCATATGCTTGACGATCATGATTGTTATACCATGAACGATATTGATGTTGAAAATCAAAAATACGGAGATTTGGCATATGAGTAGAAATTAATTGTTCCCATTGATCAGCATTTAAATATTCCATATTAAAAGTAGAAAAACGAGTATAGTCAGCTACAATACGTAAAACTTGAACTTGACGAAACAAAATTCTGACTAGTTGTTCAAAACGATTGAAATCGATAGAGTACAATTTAAGAGAAACATTTGTTAAGTCATTTAAATTAACCGGATGCATGCGCTTTTGACTACTCCTAAATCCATCTAGATAGTCCAATGATAATCGACGTAGTTGTGGAACATACGATAACAAACTATCAATCTGATTAAGCAAAACCTTATTCTTGATGACAAGATGTTCAATAGAACTGAATTCATTCGTAGCAATCGGCAGCGGAATTCGATGCCGCAATGTACCAATTGATATTTGGCAATATTTCAATGTAGGTAAATGAAATATCTTCTGATAAATATCATTTTGATTTTTAATAGAATCAATGGATATGATAGTCAATGAGGATAAAACAGGTAAAGAAGATAAATGATTTACAATTCCTTCAATATAATTCGATTCGATATTGTTTATAACAAGTGTTTCAAGTCGAGTTAAGTTTGTCATTGCGGGAAGTAGCAAACTCATATCGGCAACAAATGGATTTGATAATCGAAATGATTTAATTCGATCAGCGTGGGGTATAATAATATCTGTCAGATAATAATGAAATGTAGATTTTGATATAGATGAAATATTGATTTTGATTGGAAGATTGGGATAAAGAAAAAGATTTTGAAATCGTTGATTGAGATCGTAAAATGCTTGGAATGCATAATGTAAATCAAGATACTCAAATACTTCATAAATAAGTTCATTTGAAAGCTCTTCAAAAGTACTAATACACTCGTTTGTTAAACTGAAAAACAAAATGAAAGTATTTAAAAAATCAAAGAAATATTTTTTTTTACTCGACTAACCAGTTCGTTTCCAAAGTTGTGACTAGAAAAAAAAAATATAATAATAAAGAAAAAATGAAATGTGAGTTTCACTACTTATTTTTCTTAATTTACTATCATTATAATCATGAATAATATCACTTTGTAATCTTTGAATTTGTTCCATGATAAAATCAATTCAACAAATCTACAATAATGAATAATATACGGTGAAAAAACAACTTTTGTTTGATGACAGAAAAAGAAGAGAACACGTGAACTTTGCATAATACGTCATTTCTGTAGATTTGGTTTTGGCCTTGTACGTAAGTTCGGTTTTATTCAACAACACTAACTACGAAGTATATAACTAGAAGATCAACGAGAGAAGATCACACACACTACACGAAAAGAGAAGAGAGCAGATATATATGGATGAATTACAAAATTATTGTACCGTTTCGATAAAAAAAAGGGAACGAAAAAAGAATTTTCGATTCGAAAACTGATAAGTCTTGTTTTTAGCTGTACTATATGAGAAGGGAAAAAGAATAAATTTTCCCGACTACCACTATAAGTATAGCCGTGATATAAGAGAATCATTCAAAACCTATGAAAAATGCTTCAATATGACTGTATTGCTGTTATGTCGAAAAATTACTAAAATAGGAGAGTTGTGCTGAACGCGTTGAAAATACTTCCGTTTATATATAGAAACAACTTTGTTTATATCACGCGAAATATGGTTGAGAATTTTGTATTCGATAAAGCTCGATCAAATAGCTATAATAGTGTTGTTTCTTACACATAATCATTGATCTTTTTCTGTGAATCGTGAGAAACAAATTAAAGAGTGCTAGCATGATTTTTGATAGTCACTTGAACACGAAATCAAGTAATATGTAATGTATTTACTTTAGCCTTAGTGGTGAGGTAGTTATGCACATAACAATCTCCCTTGATATTTTTTTCAAAAAATCTCATGTGACAGTTTTGTCAAAAATCTCGTGTGATATATTAACGCTACTTTTTCTCTTTTATACGAAAGATAAGTTTTCTGACCTCGATATTTTGAAAAATACTTGATCACAACTAGTAGATAAAATGATAAAAATTTCACTTCAATCTGCCTTAATTTAAGAAAGTTATACAGCAAACAAGGTATTTACGTCTTGTGTGATAACCGTATTTTCAAATTTTATTTCATCTCTTTTTGTTAACAAGAATTAGGAAAAACTTTTCATTGTCTTTGTCAGTTTTATTTCCCATTGTTTGACTTTCATTCAACACCAGTCCAACCAATTTTTAGTGGGCTGTTGCAGAACAAGGTCGCTTTTTTAATCTTGCGTTACACAAAATTAAGGATTAACGGTACACCTAATATTCAGGAAAAAAGTGTAATTAGAACCATGATAGAAGAATCAATCAGTCCCATATCCGAGACATATAGACTGTCCACTATAAATATCGTTAACTTTCACACTCAAATGACAAGAGAACTAATCGGTTATATGATATTTTTGCTCAGTGGAGGGCACTAAAAATCGAACTTTTGAACTTTCTGCATCCAATATCTCGGAATCTGTGCGAGATAAATTTGTAACTTTTTGTATGTTAGTAAGCACTAACTACGGAAACTTCACCTGAAAATTTCACAAAGATTGGTCGAGAAAAACTGGAGTTATTAAACTTTTACATCTGGGAATATAAATGATACAATAACTTTGCAATTGATTCATATATATATATGATATAGAAGAAAGGAAAAAGCTCATACGTCATTACACGAATAGAAGGAAAAATCTAACGTATAACACGTATGAATATCACTAGGAAAATACCGATAAATAACGTAAGAGAATATAGAAGAGAAAAATACGACTGGGATATGCCCAATAACTTGTAAGGAATAAACCGACATGTAATATGTTTACATACATTGAACATATCACTTATAATTTCTTCCAACATTGACGCATAGAACAAGAAAGAAAAAGGAAAAAAAAACGAGGTGCTCGAAAAGAAAAGGGCTACTAATCGTATGAGTCATTTCAAATGAAGACCGAAAATGGAGATGCAGAGCCCAGCAGTGTTCGGCAATACTTGTTCAAGTAAATTTTTGAAAAAAATTAGTGCCTGTAAATCTTTTTACTTTAAAAAATTAGGGAGAAAACTTTTTTTTTTGTAGGCATTAACACACAGACTTCGGGTACAGATTATTTGATTTATTTACTAATAGAAAATAGTGCAATTGCTTTTACTTCTATTTTTTTTTCTATTGAATACATCTCGGTTTCGACATATATAGGGTATTACAAAACCTTTATGCCCCCTCTACAACTTATAATATCAATGATATCAAAAATGTATTTTATACCAAATCAAAGGCTATGAAAAACCGGATTTAAGAGTATAACTAGTCGTTCCTAAACATAAGCCTGGGGTATAAAAATACGGAAACTTTCAGATTTTTGGCATATACTTAGGGTATACCAAAATTTCTGGCCACGGCATTCTAATATTGAATAGTAAGCTTTAAGAAATTTTCTCTCTATGTAGTCTCATAAAGAAAAGAATGTTCTTTCTTTCTATGCTATTTCATCATATTTCACCTAATATCGTAATAATAACATTTGGATTAAATTCGTTTTTCTATCATATATGACAGTTATACTAATGCCTATTCAGTGGAAATTTTTTGATCAACTTTTGATAGAAACAAGATGGAGAGCTACGGTTCTCATCGTTCGAAAGAGAAAATACAGATACATCAAATCATGAATGATAAGTTTGTTGATAAGGGTTTTTTAAGGTTTTCAACTGACCTTTTCGATAACAAACTTACTCTTAAGATGTTTACAGCGAATTTTCGATTGTCAGATGTGTATTCAGACTGCTGATAGAAGACCTACACGATTGCAGAAGATCAGATGCTTTGAATTAATCATTTTGAAGTTACAGAGATTCTAGTCGAAGCACTAAGTGATTTTTCTGATAATTTCTGTAATAAAGAATTTTTCCTGTTTTGTTTTTATCAGGGAACCATTTTTTCCACATTTAGACAATTGATTAAACCAAGTTCAGACAACATACTAGGAAAACGTATAATATACGATTTGATATCTGTATTTCTTTTTTCTAACGATGAAAACCGCAGCTCTCTATCTTGTTTCTATCAAAAGTTGATCAAAAAATTTTCACTGAATAGGCATTAGTGTAACTGTCATATATGATAGAAAAACGAATCTAATCCAAATTTTATTATTACGATATTAGGTGAAATATGATCAAATAGCGTAGAAAGAAAGAGCATTCTTTTCTTTATCAGACTATATAGAGAGAAAGTTTCTTAAAGCTTACTATTCAATATTAAAATGCCGTGGCCAGAACTTTTGATGCACTAAATAGTAGGTTGTTGTTTGACATTGTTCTACCTGCACTTTGTTAAACACCATAAACGAGAAATTTGACCCAAACCATCCATGACGGCTAGATACTGTATTGAGACGGATCACACTGACTCCGGTGAGCAATGGATTATGGGTCATTCCACCGGAAATCGCCAGTCGATCCGGCGACCACGTCCAAATTCGTTGAAACTTTCAGGATTTGTAGAGAATTTTTTGCTGATCATTTTGGTAGTAAAATTTTTTAAAATAAACTTTGTTTTCGCAAAGATATAGGTAAAATACAAAAAATGCACTTTCACTTTTTTCAACAAAAAAAATGAATTTTTTTTTCAAAATAGCGATGAAAATCCCACTTTTTTCACTCGAATTTTAAAACGAACCACATATTCAGATTCCTCGTGAAAAACTGCATTAGATTCCATAAGAATTGAAACAATTTTGACGACTTTTATATGGTTCACTAGGTCGCTAAGGAGATGTCCAGTATTTGAAAAATTCAATCAGAAAGTCGGAATTCATGGAAATAGTGGCACTAGCAGTTCGATAGAGCGAAGCTTGCTCTACAAGATGTACTAGTTAGTTTTCTTCCCGACTCTAATTTTGGAAAGAACGAGCGTCAAAACTGTTTTCGAGGGTGTGGGTGTGGGTGTGGGTGTGGGTGTGGGTGTGGGTGTGGCTG